GACCCTGCTTGAGCAGGGAGGTTGGACTAGCTGATCTCCAGAGGTCCCTTCCAACCTCAACCATTCTGTGATTCTGTGAAAGGGTGAATGAGGGCATTCGACAGCTTTGCTACTATGACAGCCTTGAACTTAAGTTTTGTCAGATTGAAAAGAACATATATTAGGAAAAGGGTCTGGTGTTCAGCCGTACCATAACAGATCACTTGGAAAAGATTAGGGCAATACTATAATTTACACATCATATTTACATTTTAGAAATATATTTAAACAAAGACTATTTCTGTAACAAAAAGTGCAAAATCTAACCATACATGGCAGGATGGCAGCGACACAACACTCTGCCCAAGGAGAGCCCCCTCTTTACATACTCTGAATCTTTTCGGTACCGAGTTCGCATGCCTTCAATTGCCCATTTCTGTTCATTTTTGCACAGCCTAAACTCTGAGGACACCCATGTGCTTTTGCACATTAATATTTCTTTTTGAAAATGGATTTAGGGCCAAAAGCCCAAGTGCACTCAAGGAACTTTTGTGACAGCCCAAAACCCAGCAGTTGTGATTGCTCTAATGCCAACATAGCTCCAGTGACTCCAATTCACTTACTTTTTTGAGTTCTACCGTGAAAGTGAGAGTTCAATTACGGCCTCAGCAGGCAACATATAGAAGTTTCTATACAAAACACAGAACTTTGCCTGTGAATGAAGGAAAGAAGAGGCAGATGACGAGGTTATAGCCCCCTTCCGCCATCCCCACCCTGGTCTCCCCATGCGGCAGGTACCTGGCAGCTTCTCAGGGAGCTCCAAATGCTGTTGTTCACCACAAGGTGATTCAGGCAACCAGCTCTGGGGTTGGGCAGACAATTGGAGGTGCTGCCTGGTCGGTCATCTGAAGCCAAGTTGTCCTCACTCGTCATTCAGTCTCCTGAAAATTACTTCTAATATATATGTGGATGCAGTAGCAATCTTAGTACCTCATCCATCTGAAGATTTAAACTGTAACATTTCCCATTATACATGAAAAATATTGTTGTATGCAAAAGATATGGCTTAGATCAAATTTTCAAGGGTGTGACATTTCCAAGTTCAAGATTTTACTTTAATCACACTATGTTCTGAGGATCAGGCCACTGTAAAATAGCCAGTATAATTACAATTAAGAGCTAGTTAAGAACAATCTGCTCCTTTCCTCAATCATGGAGAAATGTGCTACAACTGCTACTAAGAAAAATTTACAGACAATTTCTGGTTAAGTCTTTACAAGGATTTAAGAAAGTTTGTTTAGGCCCCAAAGCAAAAACATCCCTCTGCTCTAAAGACTCATTGCTGGAAAAGTTCAATTTCTAACACTACAATCATTGTGGCCAGCCCACAGCAAGAGAACAAATGTTATTCCTGCTGCTTTTAAGAAGAAAAATCAGCACCAGTTTTAATTAACTTCAGTGGTTTGGGAACTAGACTCAACACACGCTTTCAACTAGCACAATGTAAGTAAAAGCAACATCCAGCTGCTTCTCTGGAAAGTTTTTATCCATTCCAGGTAAAATGACATTTATATCTTAAAAACAAAAAAACAAAACAAAACCATCAAAACACTAAACACAGGTTGGACATATTGCCTTTAATACATTTCAGGAATCAACTAAAAATTAGGTGTCTCCCAGAAGTACCTGAGTCTATGTAACTTTCTGAAGTGGAGAGCTTAGAAAAAATACCCAGAACACAAGCTACCAAATAAAGGAAAACGGCCAAGTCAGACTCCTCGGTGCATAAGTGTGAACACCACTTACCGTTCAGTAGTTATAGCACAGCAGTACCTCAAAAACTGCAGTCAACACTAGGGCCTCTCTAAGCTGCGCATAACCTATTTGACAGGCTCTCCATACCTCAGAGATCTTCTACTGACAAAGCGAGTGAACAGATGAGAGACACAAAGAGGCAGAATGACGGGTGCCAAACTGATACGACACACAGAATGAACAGGCAAAGGACAGTAAATTAACCTGAAAAAAGTGAGGGTAGTTTTGTGATAGCGACACTGAATTCAGATTCAGGAGTCTGTGGAGATCTATTCCGAACTCAAAAACTATCACCTTTCTCGTGCTCTCTCTTTCTCTTATTTATGCAGACTGTTTTTTTTTTTTTTTTTGGTAAAGGCAAGCATGGTTTCACACTGTGGGAACATGCAGTAACTTAGTACTATGGTGTCCCAACTCACCTTCATAAATCAAATGCTAGATGTATAGGTACTTTAGATATTACTGGCAGAAGTAAAATTTAATATAGCTTGCTAGCATGTGGAAAAAATTTAAGGTCCAATTCAATGAAGTCAGTGTGATTTCGGCCGGAATCAGCCATCTGCTACCTATATTAAATAGTATAACTTTCTCAATACAAATAAAATACATTCAATTTTTATCAGGTTTGACATTTCTTATAGTACTAACATTTTGTCATTTGTCAGCCTATATTTCTAGACCTCTTGGACTGACTGCCTGGGCTCCATCTGGCAAAATTAGAGGTCTTCCAAATCCAAAGCATTTCAAAGAAAGACTCACACATTAGTTAATAAAGAACAAATTATAACTGATTGCAGGTGATTGCAAAAGGAGAGATTTTAATTTTTTTTTTTGAAATACAAACAATGAAATATTAGCTTTAAAAGTATGGGTACTGTGCCTTTACGTTATTATACTAGCTACCTACCAATTTACCCTCGCATTATATGAGGTAGTGGCATGATATTCAGAGTGGTTATATATTGAGCACGGCATAATATTTTAAAAGGCTTATGGTAAACTAGCATATCTTTTTTTGTTAAGCTAATCACTGTATTACCCACATTATAAATTATGAATGTAATCTGAAAAACACAGAGCCCAAGGACAACACAGTCAACTAAAGTTATCTAAAATGTTAAATACGTATTTATTCAGGGTTTAGGTGAATTTGAAAGTGTTAGGCTCAGATGCAAGTCCCACTCTCAGGAAGATGCTGGTTCATGCAAGTTACCGTTTGAGTAAATGCACTAACAACTTAAGAGACACAAGCAGATCACTCTCTTCCTACGTGAAGTCTTCCTCTCAGATAATAAAGAAATATTATTTTAAAGACTCATTCATCTACAAGCTACAATAAAGTCTTCCCTGTTACTACACTGTCTTTCTAGGGCTTTTCTTTAGTCTCATGTCCGAGGCTACATGTGTCGCCACTGCCAGAGCAGTTACCAAACACCCTGCCCACTGTAGTAAATTCCCCAGAGTGGTTTATCCACAGAAAGAGTCTTGGGTCTACTAAGCCACAGCTCCGTTGCTTCAAGGAGCAAGGGACAGCGGCAGGGCCCTTATTCCTCAAGTGGGCAGGCCACAAGAGACGCTCCACACTCACCCAGTGCACTACACACACACAGACACACGCATCCCGACTCACTAAGAGATCCCAGCGCAAGGAAGGGCCTCAGTGACAGCAAAGCAGTTAACGGAAATGAGAATATTCTAAGCTTAGCGCCTTCCCTGGGGACTTGGCAATTGCTGGCCACTCTTGAGAGAGACGTACATCTCTGTCGGATGTCATGGTCTCTGCTAAGATTTCCTGCAGTGGAAAAGGATCCCATATCTCCCCACTTGCTCCTAGCAGCCTATAAGAAGTTCAGTTCTCATTCATTTTCTGGGGATAGGATCAGGCATAGTCTCATTAGTCTCCAACCAACACGGGCACCAAGTCTTACTCTCCTCCACTCTCCAGGAGCCTTGTATTGGCTTGGATTTTACAGTCTAAGCATGTATCTACACGGCTGACGCATACACACATCCTTTTGGTGCCGTGTACACAAATAACACACTTACTCTCTTTCAGTGATTGCCATTTGTCCAGCTAAGTGATTTGGCAAGCATAAAGAGGTTAGCAGGGAGGTAATGGCAAAGTCACAAATGGCAAATGTAACAGTAACGTTGTTCGCTAGCCAAGTACATTAGCTCATTTTAATCTTTTCTAAGTGTACATTACATCACAACTCCTTATCTGCCCCAGGATTTTTTACTGTATCAGCCTTTCTTAAAAACATATAAATCATACTGAAAATACAACATTAATCTTTATCGCTTACCTCACCATTATTTAATAAGCAGTAGGAGGGAGTTTCCTCATGCAGAACGCAGTTGTGAAAAGCTGACTTTGAATAAACTCCAGTTCTGAGCTCACCAGTGCTCTTGAGTTTTGTAGCTGTGTTAACTAGGGACTTCCAAAAGGCCCACGTCTATCAATGGTGCAGCTGTGGATGACAGCCGATGCGATAGGCACTACCCGAGCATTACATCCTGCTTTGGCAAGCTCTGACTAGAGGCTGATTAAACTATCCCAACGTCGTCTTTAGTTCTGGCTTATTGTCTAGAAGTTTATTTCCCAGTGTGTTACCTACACCCCTCACAGAAATTACACTCTGCATGTGTAGTGGTTAGGAAGAAAGCTGGTCAGTACCATATGGCAAGAGCCCAACATATTTCTTATCCCTTTTATTTTGATTGCTAGCATGGCAAGTATTAATTCTTTACAATTCCTGGCCTCTACAGTGCACAGAAAATCTTTGGATTACCCTCATTATAGACATTTAGAAGGAATGGGGCTCTAAATTGAGTTCTGAGTTTTAAAAGAGTTTTATTGAAAATTAGTTTTAGTAAAAATGAGTTTTATTTTATATTTCAGAGAAAACACTACTCCCCATAAACCATATAAAATCACTTCAGCTTTTTCTGTAAAGTTCAACCTCTTATTCTGTTCCAGTCACTGGGTTACATAAGCATGAACATCACCACACCCAGACAAACCAAACTGGTTTGTCACATGAAACTGATCTTCTATGTCCCTTTGATAGGAAAATTGGAACAGAAAAAGCTAAGCTTTTCCTACAGTGCATTATAACATGCCAAGTACAGGACAGCAAACCGTTCTATGAAATGTATCTTATGTTATCTAAGGAAAATAAATCAACATCATTGACATAAACTATTACTGGAAGAGAGATTCAGCATTAAATTATATATCAATTATAATAAATTATATATCCACATCTCAAATCCACCTTCTCTGAATGACGACCCCAGCAAGTGTCTCCATGACCAAACCATATCTGTCATTTGAGCGAACCCTGTGGTCACACAAATACAACGTGTGAAATCCAGTTTCCTGTTTACATGAGTTAGGTCAATACTTGTAACTACATTTTGGAACTTCTCTGGGTAAGCAAAAACTCAGAGCACGATATTTTAATTTATCACCTTGAGCTTTCTCGATTGACTATATCCCATACTATTGGCAATAAGTCTAGAACATGTGCTATGCTTTCCTCTGCAATAGCTTTACTTCTAATTTTCGTACTTACGGAAAAATGCAATGGGAAAAATGAAGTACTGGAGGGCATTTCGTTCCTGACTTTATAACTCCTGAACTTGTATACATACATAGATATATATCATACATATGAACTATACCTTTCTTGTCTTCACTAAGCAGTAAATAACTTTACTAACCATTGTTTCTTCTTGTAGTTTCTTGTATTTAAGGGTAAGTCGATATAGTAACTGCCAGGAAGGGCAGTTAAAAATGTTTTACTGTACTATATATAGAGAGATATATAACAATGGCAGTGCAAGTGCTGTTGATTTCCAAAGAGCTATTCTTCAGATTTTTTTAGGATTAACAGTCAAATATAGTCTCAAAACATGCTACACTGCAGAGCTGGTCCTCCAGACAACCCTAAATTAACACAACTACAGCCCTCCTGTTGTTTCAAGGTGCGCACCAGGTTCAAAACAGAAGCCTGCCAAGGCAGCAGAGGAGCAGGGCAAATGATGTAGTCGTCGCACTCCATCCCAAATGTTACCAGTTTCACAATCCCTAGCTTCAGAAAAGGGAGAGTTTCTTTGCATTGCTTTATTTCTTGAGACAGTTTATAAGGAGAATTCAAACTCAAGTGCCCTGGGGCAAAAACTAAATTAAGCATAATCCATCTTTTGAGTTACAGCAAAAAACATTCTGGACAATATCAGGTTTCACTACATGTAATGGCTTTATGAAACGTATAAATGTTACTGTTCTATAAAATACATTTTTCATTCCAAAATGCAAACTATAAATTATATTTAATCAGGACTTTACTCTTTAGTGTTTTAAATGCACTTTTAAAAGAAAGACACAAGATTGCCAAATTAAAGATTTATTATAGTGTTTTTATTAACAAACTTTCATTGGAAAGTTCTGGGCGCATTAACAGAGGAGGCACATTGGCTTCGATGTTTGGCATTTGACAGTCAACAGAATTGCACTTCACTGTTACGGCCTTGCTACAACAGTGTGAATTTTCATGGCAACCCTCACAGTGAGCCTCTCTCCCTGACGTATCCAGCAGGTGTTTCTGATCGTTTTGGTCAGCTTTCGAAACCTGCTCATTCTGCAAAGAATGCTGATCTGTTTTGCTCTCAGCTTTCTTCTTCTGCTTGGACGCTGAGGTTTTCTTGCTTTCAACCCCGTTTACTTCTGTACCACCCTTTCCATCACACTTGTCTTTCTTCTGAGAGAGTCCCGTTTGGTTATTTGATACACTGTTCTCACATTCAGAGCAATGCATTATTAGAGGCCCTGCATTTCGGCAGAGAAATTGTGAGGAGCTCACCACCTTTGGAAGAGTTCTTACGTTTTCCTCCGGGTTTTGATGACCACGTGAATCTGTCCTATTTATTCTTTGATGGGCCTGAAACTGTTGCACTGACTGGAGGAAAAAATTTTTAGGCAGAGAGTTCTGTGTCATCGTTCTTTTGAGCCTTCCCTGAAGGCAACCGCAGTGGAGGACATGCTGGACCGGGTGCACATACCCTTCTGGGGCTTGCTGCAAAGCATTTACAGGAGCCATAGCATTTTGGAGCTGTACCGTTCCAGATGAAGGAGAGCACTGATAACAGAAGGTATCACTTAACTGTTGGCATGAGTGTGGGCTCCACTTCACTGCTACTTGCTTATATGCATCAGGACAGCCACATTGTCTGCTCTGAGAGAAAAGTGGGCATATGGTTTGTTGGTCAACAGATGACTGTAACACAGACGAACTAGCAACTTTTTGCATGCTTTTATTCACTTCACTATTATATGCTGAATGCATAGACATACATGTGTTTTGGGGCCTGCTACTGAAGAGTTCTGAGCAGATATGAGTTTCTTCATAAGTCACTTTCTCTGCAGGGTTACAGTTACCGGTTTGGGATGCCAGAGGCTCCAGCTCATAGTGCTCATGCTCCATTTCTGGTTTTTGATTTCTGGAGTCCAGCTGATATTTGCTAACTGGATGTGATTTATTTTGTCCTCTGCCTCCTTGCCCTCCTGAAAAGGTCTGAGAGAAAGCATTGCATCGCAATTTTTTTGGTAGTGGAATCTGGCCACAAGTGCCCTGGGGCCCAAGGCAGCGGCACATGCACTGGAAGAAGAATGTTGCAAAAGCCCAGCTAATGCACATTATAAGCATCATAAAGGTGCCAAGCTGCGTGTATGCCAGCACTGTAGAAGGCATCATCATTGCTCCAGCTACAAATGTGGTCAGTGCAGCCATTGCAATAGCAGAACCCATACGGCTTAAAGAAAAAATGACTTTTCCCTCTCGGTCAGGATCAGGGGCTAAGCGATAAGCCACTCCATAGTGAACAGCAAAGTCTACAGATAAGCCGACAGCCACAGAAATAGTGACAGATTCTAACACATTTAGCTCCCATCCCAGAAGAACCAGGGAACCTACAGTGACAAAAATAGTTCCAGCTATTGAAACTATTGCATAAAGACTTATAATTATATTCCAAGTTGTAAGAAGCATTACACTAAATGCAACAGCAACTGAAAGACCCATGGCAATCAGAGTACCATCAGACAGACTGTCCTGAAGATCATAAAATTCTAAATTACTCACAAACCAGCCATTGCTGAGACCCTCAGGAGCAGAACTAAGCTCATTTGAAATCCAGGAGTCTACCTCTTTGTAGAACTGATGCATTTTCTCATAAGCAAGCGTGAAGAGGTAGGTGCTTTGGAACTCCAACACCACTGCCCGGATAGTGTCGTTGAGGTCAAAGCGAGGCCCTGGGGTTTTACTATCTAAATGATACCCTGTGCTTCTTTCTAACTCCATTATAGCTCTCTTGATACATAATTCAAAAACTTCTTGTTTGTATGGAAAGCTCCAGTGGCTGCAGCAGGGGTACAGAGAAGGCTCATCGCAGTCCTGATTTTCCATCCACTGCTTAAATGTTTCAATAAAGCAGCTTGTGAAGTCTTGCTCTTCAGTCTGATAATAAAATGTTTGATTTCTTAACTTCTGACAGAAACGTAAAATCCAAACCTGTGAAGCTGGGCTAGCAATATTAAAACTGCTATCTAGTTGCAACTTTCCTTTACTTTTAGGGTTTAAAGGGTCACCGTTATCTTCAGGTATGACACCCCAGATTACTGTAATTGGCATGTGGAGTTCCTCTCCATGGTGAACACGTTCAAACATAAAAAGCTTTTTGTATTCTGCATCATATCGTTCAAATGGGTGAGAAGACCTGAATACCTGAAACTCGGAGAGCTCCAATGATGGCAGTTTCATCTTTGGATTTACACACACAATATATGCTCCACCTATTGTTAAGGCAAGGAACCAGAAAAGCCAAATGTATCGAAATTTGATAACAATGCATGGCAACACTTTTTCAAAAAATATCCTGGATGCTTCTGAGACCGCAAAAATAACCCTGTGGAACATTTGGCACAACACTGTCCAGCAGTTTTTGTTGTTGTATATCCTCTGCTGAGGTTTTTTAAAGCAACTGAAAATATTGAGAAGATATCGTTCATGTAATACAACTACGGCAGGTAGCCACGTAACCATCAAAACATAATTCACCAATATGGCAGTGCCAGCATAAACACCAAAACATCTGATTGCTGTGATATTGCTGACATAATTAGCATAGAAGGCAGCAGCGGTGGTAAAACTGGTGACAAACATGGAAAGAGCAGCGTGCTGCAATGTGATGCTTACTGTCTCAGAAGTCCCAGCATGAGGTTTATCAAATTTTGTGTAATTCCAAACATCACATAAGACAAAAGCATCATCTGCTCCAATTCCAACAAGAATAATTAATGCAGTGAGATTCATAAATGGAAAAAACTCAAAATTAAATACTACCCGATAGAGAAAATACGAAACAATCAAGGAGCTAATTATTGCAAACATAGTCATCAGCGTGATAAACATTGACTTCGTGTATACACACATAACTAATAAAACAATGACAATGGCTATGGCAGGATACACAGTATCCATCAACAGGTAATCTTGAAACAAACTGTGTTTTATTCCAAACTCAATCCCTGTGATGGTTGTTACACCATCGG